AAATGGCCGACTGATCGTCTATCCTGGAAACAGACAACCAGTCGTCCAGGGGCATAGGCGGCGTACTTACTATTTGTACCTGTCTGCAACGTTCGGCCATGTACAACAGTCGGTCTAGTGAACAATGGGATATTAGATATGGAATACTTAGACAAATTTGAAGCAAAACAATAATTTGATTAAAAAAGCCGGTCATTAAAGACCAGCAAAATATTCAAAGCCCCGGCCCCCTGGCCGGGTAAATACAAAGCAAACGGCACGCAGGCCGTGGAAAAAATACATTAAGCTTAAGAAGGGGGCAGTTCAGTATTAGCAGCTGCCGCCTGGTCAGCACTCTTCTTGCTGGACTCGGCTTCAGCTGCATCCTCTTTTGATGCCTTACCCCCAAGTGGCACAAGCGCCACAACCGGCTCTTCCTCCTCCTCCAACGCACCTCCCAATGCCTCTTCTTCAGCAGCCGCCAGGATCTCTTGATTGTATGTTTCCGAACACTGGCGGTACGTTCTTTCCCATGAGGCAAAGTCGGCATTGGGGAACAGGCGGCCCCAGGTCATGCGCTGGATTTGAGCGGAGTCTTCCACCATCTCCCGGACGAGCTCTTTCTTCTCTTGCTCGGCCTTTTCCGAGAGCTCTTGGGTAAGACTCTTCTCTTGGCTCACCAGGCGTTCTTTTACGTTGGCCAAGGATTTCTCCATGGCTTCGTAAGAGTGCATTTTTTGGCGAAGAGGTTTCAGCTCGGCCTTAAGATTTGTGATGGTCGCCTCCAGCTCGTCATTCTTCTTCTGGGCCGCCTCTAACTGAGCCCGAACAGCGGCGGTAGCCTGCGCCTGATAATAAAGAATATCAATGGTCAGTACTTCATTTTGGGCAATTTGAAACATTGCCTTATCACAGTTGGAGGCGGCCATAGCTTTTGCAGCCTTTACCTCTTTGTTTTTCCGATCAATCGGCTTGCGAAGGCTGTTAACTCGGAGCAGGGCCTAAGTACAAAAAAAACAGGCGTCAGTTTCCAAACACAAAAAAGATAACAGGCGTCCTGGAACTCAAATACTCAAAAATATGCTAAGTATACCTCAGCAAGGACCCCTGCAATCCCATCAAGGTCAAGGGTGCCGGCACCCCTGACCGCCTCCCTTTCAGATGGAGGAACTACTTTGATCATGGACTTGGCTACCTCAACCAAGTCAAGCCCCTGAGGGCCGGCTGCATCAAGCGTAAAAAAAAACAAGTTAGACCTAGTCAAGAAGGAAGCAAGTGTGAAAGTTTTTACAAGTGATTGTCCATACTTCTAGGCGGCCCCGCCGGGGTTTTAGAAGAAGTGGTCGGCTGCTTCTCAGCCGCCACTGTTTTCCTGGAAGACCCAGGAGAGCTTGCAACAGTTGTCCTCCGGGCCTTGGGGTCCGGCTGTTGCGAGGAAGAAGCTCTTGGAGTGCCAGACTGAAAACAAAAAGAGTTAGTATATGCATAAGACAACTCCTAAAAGAGGAAGAGTTTTCGAAGCCTACCAAGGGTGCCCCCTTGTTGGGGGAGTCGGCACAAGACTGTTGCATGAGAGAGGCCCGCAACATGGCCGCCGCAGTCTTGGATGCTGTTATTTTACTCATGGCATCAGCTGCAAAAAATAAACAGCAAAGTTAGTAAAGATCCCAAGTAAACAAGGCGTGAAAAAAAAAACAGAGTATTTGTCAGGCCGGCTACCTCTAGAGCACCGACTGCTGAGGCCACAGGCGGCCAAAAAGTACTCGTCATAGAGCCACTTGAAGCTCGGGACGCAGTTTAGGGGTACTTGCTCTCGTACCCCTGAAGTAGAGTTCACCCTAGTCTCTACTTTGAAGAGTCCTTTGTCTAGGATCTCTCTTTTAGCCTTTGGGGGAACAGGCGGCATGCTGCGGCCGCCTGCGAGAAGAGGCGGATCCCTATTCCACTTGTTAAAACGTTGGTTCAGCTCCGTGTCTGAACCCTCAATGATAAGGAAGGTGTTCCGCCAATCCTTCCATTTGTTCGCCTTACCTCTCGTCATGAGGTAACCCCTATGGCTTGTTAATTGATACCAGCCGGTACCTCCCGACTTAGGGGTCCGGCTGAGATAGTTCATGTGGGCGAAAGCCTCAAAGCTTGGCTCCACCCCGTACATTTCGCACCCGGCCACATAGCCGAGTACGTTTACCCAAGAGTTGGGGCTAACTGCCATAACCCCAAATCATACCCATCTAAAATCCGCTGAACAGCCGGATGTAATGGGAAGCGTAGTCCAGCTTTGATGGCCGCCACATAGCAGCCAAAGCAGCCGTCATCATAGCTGGTACCAGCCGGCCAGACGACAGTGTCTTCTGGATCCGGCACGAACAGTAAAAATTCCGGGCCCATTCTGTGGTTAGCAATAAAGCTCTCCACTTTGTCATGCATGGTTGCGATCCGGCCCCGGGGTACCATGCAGTAGTAGGGGGCGTTTTCCTCTCTGTAAGAGGCGGACGGCTCCGCCCAATTGTCCCCCTTCTCAACTGCATGAGAAAGTCTCGCCTCTTGTAGGCGGCTATGTCTTTCTTCTGAGCCTGGAGAACTGCGGCCAGAAGAGCTGGACTCGGACTCGTCCTCTGACGAGTCCGAAGAGGACGACTCCTCCCCTCTCCCAGAGGGGCCCGCCTCCTCTCCCTTAGAAGGAGCAGGAGGAAAATTAGACATATCAACGGTAAGATGGGAAGGGACCACCTTGGCCCCTCTCTCAGAACTGTCGGCTTGGCAGCCGCCTCGTTTCAATTCTACATCTGGCGCCTGGTCAGATGTTTCACTAATGAGCACCCTTTGGGAGGAGCCGTCTGAGTTTGATATCATAGCAGTCTTTTTTGTTCTGGCCATCACGTTCTGCATAGACACAGATACAGTCGGACTTTGTATAAAGGGCAAAGATGGGTCCAGAAAAGGGCAGGCGGCACTCCTAGTCCTAGATTCAGCCGTCCCCGGTGACCGGCTGATCACTAACTTAGGTCGTGTCGTGTGCTTCCGTGGTGCCATTTCAAAAAATAAAAAGAAAATTAAGAGTAAGAGAACTGAGTTACCTGAACGAGTGACGGTTGATGAAGTTCTGGAAATCCGGTGCAGTCGGCTTGTCAGAACAGGCGGTAGGCAGAAAAGGTCCGAAATGTCAGAGCAAGTTCAGGGGTCCGAATGTTCTCGCAAAGTTCTCAAATGTGAAAATGACCGAAGTCAGCACTTCCTTATATAGGCAAAGTGAGAAGGCGAAGGGTCGCTTCCAAATTCAAAATTTGGGCGGGAAAATCTCTCGGCCGTTTGCAAGGTGACACCTGTAGCAGGCCGTCGCCTGTCACCGTGCGACACCTGTCACAGGCGACACGTGACCAGTCACGTGCCACCTGTGAGGGGCAAATGATTAGGGGATTTTTATCCACCAATCACCGTCTGACAAGTGGACCAACCAGGTTCCGCCACGTGTCCTTCACGAAGGCCAATAGGAGCCTGCCACGTGTCAATCACAGATACGTCCTCTACGGACCAATCGAGGCACGCCACGTGTCCACCCATGCCAAATGGGAAAACCGGCCAACAAGGCCCAATCCTGTCTAGAGGCCCGGTCAGCCCTAGGTTTACCCTAAACCTAGAGAGTGGCACGCTTCTCAAGACTATAAATACTTAATTAATCCTCATTAAAAGGGATCAAGCAATTGAGAGGCAATTGATCAAGCAATTAATCTCACCTGAAGAACAGAGAAGAACAGAAACATTACGGAACATTAATAACCGGCTAATCTCGCTAACAAAGCAGATTACCAACATTAAACACTCTCACCTAGAGAGGTCTTATTACTTTAATTTCCGTATTAATTACTCCTTAATCAGGTACTAACTTGACCGTTGGAGGCGGAGCTCTCAGGAGTCTCCGTTATTTTGCAGGTACAGGCGTCCGGTTCCAGTCTCGGAATTGTAACTCTCCCGCAGGACATCAGAAAACCCCGAAACAGTAATGACGATACTGAAGATCGTTAACTCCAATAGGTCTGGAACCAAGACTGGTATTCCAGGATGAAGGTACAAATCCAATCTAAAAGAGAAAGAATCTACCCTAATGATAGGCCTCTACTTTATTCTTCTCGTATTCATGTGCGTTTTCTGACTAACATGCAATCAATAGGTTTACCCTAAACCTGTTTATCTATGTTAGTTGTATACTAGATATAAGCCCGTGCGATGCACGGTTCTAGTTTTTATTTTATTTAATTTAAAATTGTGTATATTTATGAAGATCATTCATTAAATATATGGATAAAATTCCTAATATCATAAGATAATTTTTTAATTTTAACACTAAAGTTATCTTTTGTTGTTTTATTTATTTATTTTCTATGACGCTTGAATTTAAAATCCCAAAATTCAAATTTTTAATTCAAAAAAGAAATAACAAATCTCATTTTTTTATTGATCAAAATAAGTCTTTTGCCTATGCGTTTATTTAATATACTCATTTTGTTTAAAATGTTAGTTTCATTTATAATTGTTTAACTATAAAATATTATGGAAAATTAGTCATATGAGTACATTATTGAAATCAAACTTTTACAATATTTTCTAGGAAGAGATTAAAGATATTTGCAATTAAAATTTGCATTCATAAATGTAAAAAAGATAAATATTACTCAGGTTTTTTTTTTTGTGTGTGTTTTTAGATAAGATAATTAATTAGTTTTAAAAATAATTTAAATTTTAATTATTCTCAATTCGTTGTTTTTACCTATGTGTCAAAATTCTTAAATCTTATTCGTCACTTTTGCTTAGGTGGCGAGTAAATTTTTTAATTCTAAAATAAATTATTGATCTAATTTTTCATTGGACAAAATAATACCTTTTCTTATGTGGCGCGCCAAATGCTCCCGAAAAATGCCTATTTTATTTATATATATTAGATTAATACACAAATAAAACAATTATTGACGATCACTATAATTATAATCATATTAAAGCTAAACAAGATTATTAAAATCATCCAAATCCCATTAATCTCGCAATTCTATCTAAATCCTCCGATGAGTAATGCGATGAAGATATCAGATTCACAAGATAGAGTTTTGGCCAAGGTGGTTATAAATACAGCCCGTATTTCTCCAATAAAAACACACAACTTAACCCACAATTATAAAAAGAGGAGATAGTTCGAGTCACTACAACTGGGCAATTCGAGCAACGAAGATAGCCATTGGAGGAAGCTTAGTCTCGGATCCAAGGTTGATCAAGAACGAAGGTGAATTGCGGGTTCAAAGCCGGGTTTATCCGCATGTTCTTGGGATTATAGTTCATAAGTCTTCTTACTTAATTGTTCCATTTTACCGTTACTTTGGATTATTTTTGCTAAGTTCGATTAGTTACTTTGATTGGATTATTGGTGTGATAATTTGGTAGTTGATTTAATAATATATTTGCATAGTTTATTTCAATTTAATGATTATTTGAATTTGCTTATCTTAATTATTAAATTTGCAATTCGGCATTGATTGTTATCTTTCAAGTTGTTAGTTGTGAATTATTGCTATCTATATGGTTTGGCTTAGTTTGAATCGTATAGGAGAGTAGTCCCTAATTTTAAATCAAGTCTGCGATTATGGTTTGGTTTAAATTAGAAAGCAGTTTCAATCTAAATAATCTGACATTTAAGTGATTAGATTAGTTAGGACTAATGAGGTCTCCTAGATATTGATGCTGCCAAGACTAATTCATGCAAGTTGAGACCATATTTGTGTTGATTAGGTTGGTTTAGAGTCGATTTTTGCTTAGTTCAGAATTGGTTTCAAATAAGGGAGATAGGGAGTCTTTGTTACTAAAGTCTCTACAGTTAGTCTAGTAATTAAGTTGATTAATTGTGCATGGCCGGTTAATTATAATCACTAATAGTTTAATTCAAGTAAAGTTATGAATAGAGTTGGTTAAGTATGTCGTCAATTGTATATAGTAGTTTAGATCCTATTTTTCATGGTAGTATTAGTTGACTATTATCATTTAAATCCCCCCAATCTCATGTACATAGTGTGAATAATACTCTTTTATGTATATAGTTTATGTTTCGAGTTTATTTTGAGTTTATAGAGTTAATTAATCTCGTCGTGGGTTCGACCCTTACTTACCCTTTTTACTAGTTATTAATATTTTTGAGGATTAAGTTAAGGTAAATTATTAATTAATTTTATTCGAGAAACGACACGTATCAAATTTTGGTGCCGTTGCCGGGGAGATTATTTATGATGTCCTATAAATTCATGGTTTAAGTTATTTCTGCTAATTTTGTTATTTGAATATGTGAAGAGCATGTATAAATTAACTGCTATTTTAGGTTGACTATTTTATAACCTATTAGTGGGTTAATTCTATGCATGTCATCAGTTTTTCATTATTGCTGAAAGTCGGCTTTAGTAGTGTATGTCTGCATGTTTTGAATTTGTCAAGGAGTGCCTGTTTTTCATGACTTAATTTAATAAGCTTCATTGTATTTGTCAGACTTTTAAAGGTTAGATGACTACAATTCTTTTTGTTTATCTTGGTGGAGTATTTCACTTGTAAATTGATGGATGCTCAGTTAAGTTTAGTAAAATTTAGAATTCTCATATCTTGTTTTAAATGTTGGATCAGTATGTTATCATATGATATGAATGATTTAGCTAATTGTTTGCTAGTAAAAGAATTTATAGACTCTTTTCGAAGTTACCATAACTTATAGAAGTTAATATGACATGATAATGAGTTATACCGAATAATGCTTGTTTATTGACCGAGTTTTTGCAAGCTTAATCTATATTAACTCACATATTGGTAGACAAGTATATGTCATGTTTTCTTATCGATTTTTTTGCATGATTGTGCAGGTGCTTGTCCCTTGAAAATTGAAATGACTAATCTTATTACATCTAATGATAAATAGGTAACACACTGGTATTTTGATTATTGGTATTTAAATGGTGCTAAGAGTTATAATTTTGAGGCTATCTTCCACTGAGTTCTGCTATTTATACTTTGATCTGACAAATTATGAATGGCATATACTAAATTTTTTATTATTTTCTAATGCATCTGTATTGAAGGGTCTAAGGGGAGAATAAATTTAAAAGACTTTGTGTCTAATTATATGCTGTAGTCGGCTACTATATTAATGATAATCAAAGGTTCTGATGTGCATCAATCTGGCAGCATAATTTTGACAATTAGCTAGCTTGACATGTTGAATTTTGGAACATGAGCATTCTGCCAACCTGTTAGATTAGTAATCTGGTCTCACCAATAATCATTTCTTGTCAGATTTGCTACTGAAAATTTAGTATAATTTCTGCCAGATGCATGACATTTAAAATTTCTTGTCTGAATATACCTGATCTCATTACTTCAGAACTGTTAAAGCTATAATTCTTGCTTAGTTAAAAAATCTGACCAAAATATTATTGATAATTAGCAAGCCTCACATGTTGAATTGTGATAGGTGCATGTGTGATTGTATGCCTAATTCTTAATATAGGAAGACCATTTTACTAAATTTTTTTTGAAATGCTAAACTGATACATATCAACTTGAGTAAAATTTGAGCAAACTAGTTGTGAGAATTTGTGCATGACAACCGATGATTTCATGAGATTGCTTGGTCAGGTTCATATAATTTCTTAGTTTGTCTAATGCTTCTTAATTTCAGCATATTTACTGTTAGAACTACTTGTAATCAAACATGTTTTGTTTGATTTGAATAACTGATATCAGTTCTTTATTTTGCCTATATTTTAGTTCTGACCAGAAATTTATTTTCACACAAGCTTATCTCTCATTAATTTATGTTTTCTTTATAGGTGCATGTATGCGTACGATAAAGAAGCAAGACTTCAGTGCATAAGAGCGTACATAGACTTGATAAACGGAGCAAAACCAGAGGAGCTTCTTCATATTTTCATTGCTGAACCATCACTTGAATTAGAAGATCCATTGCTGATTAAATATAACAACATGGCAGAACAGACATTGAAAGAACTGGGAGCCCCTAAAACAGGAGAAGATCCTCTCTGCATTGTCTTTCCGGAGCTAGAGAATCCCCTCAAACGGAACTCAGGTTTCCTTAATCTTCTCCCTAAATTCTATGGGAACGTAGGTGAGAATCCTTATAGACATTTAAAAGATTTAAAGTTGTATGTTCTTCTATGAATCCCGAAGGAATAGAACAGGAACATATTAGATTGCATGCTTTTCCTTTTTCTTTGCAAGATCCTGCTAAAGAGTGGTTATATGAGCAACTTCCATCTAGTTCCATTAATTCTTCGGCAGAATTGGAAAAAGTTTTTATTGAAAGATTTTTTCCTGCGAGTCGTATAGGTTCTATCAGGAAGGAAATTTTTGGAATTAGACAGAATAATAATGAGTCTTTATATGAGTACCGGCAACGGTTTAATAGGCTTTGTTCATCTTGTCCACAACACCAAATAAGTGATCAATTATTAATTCAATACTTTTATGAGGGTTTGTTACCTAATGATAGAGGTATGATAGATGTAGCAAGTGGGGGTGCATTAGTTGATAAAACACCTACTAAAGCTAGAAAATTAATCTCTAATATGGCTCATAATACACAGTAATTTAGCACTAGAAATGATGCTAAAAGAGTAAATGAAATTGATATAAGTGGTATTCATAATCAATTGCAAGAAAATTCTCAACAAATTGCTACTTTGACTACTCTTGTTTCTAAAATTTCTAGTAATGAGTCTAAATCCAGAGTTTGTGGTGTTTGTTCTGATTTTTCTCATGCTACTGATGAATGTCCTACTTTACACAGTGAAGATATTAATGCCTTAGGGGGTTTTTCTGGTCAACAAAATAGGAAGTATGATCCTTTCTCACAAACTTATAATGAAGGTTGGAAAGACCACCCTAATCTAAGGTATGGAAATAGACCACAATTTCAAAGTTTAATCAATTTAAGCAACATGGTCAACTAAACCCACCACCTAAACCTGCTAGCCCTTCATTAGAAGACTTGGTGAAACAATTAGCAAACCAAATAGGACAGGTTCATGATCAAGGTGTTGAATATCAAAAGAAAACTGACATTCACCTACATCACATAGACACTCAAATAGGTCAAATAAGCACTACTCTGAGTAATTTGGAATCTCAACTCTCAAATAGACTTCCTTCTCAAACACTTGCCAATCCAAATGAACATGCTAAAGCTGTAATACTTAGGAGTGGTAAGGAGTTAGCAGAACCTAAAATGCAGAATAGAGAAGTAGAGAAAGAAGTAGAAGCCAGACCTAAGGATATAGTTGGAGAGAGTAAGGAAAAACATGATAAAGAGAGCGAGAAAGAACCTGTAGGGAAGGGTAATTCTGATGTGAATTTTGATGTTTCTTGTTTTAAAGATGTTCCCCCTTTCCCCTCTCGATTTGCTAAGTCTAGGAAAGAAGCCATGGACAATGAATTTCTAGAGACTTTTAGGAAAGTTAAAGTTAATATTCCTCTTCTTGATGCTATTAAGCAGGTACCACGCTATGCAAAGTTTCTTAAGGAACTTTGTACTAATAAAAGACAATTTTTCCCTTTTGAAAAGGTTAGTATGGGGGAAAATATTTCAGCAGTAATTCAAAAGAAACTTCTCCCTAAATGTAAGGATCCTGGCATGTTTTCTATTCCATGTAAGATTGGAAATTCTATTTTTGAAAGATGCATGTTAGACTTAGGTGCTTCAATCAATGTCATGCCTAAATCTGTATATGATACCTTTAATGTGGGTCCTTTGTCTAAGACTTATGTAGTTATCCAACTAGCTGATAGATCTTGTTTCGGGGTTTTCTGATATCCTGCGGGAGAGTTACAATTCCGAGACTGGAACCGGACGCCTGTACCTGCAAAACAATGGAGACTCCTTGTGGTGGGAGCTCCGCCTCCAACGATCAAGTTAGTACTTGTTTGAGGAGTAATAAATGCGGAAAGTAAAGGTGGGAGATCTGGTTCCTCTAGGGGAGGAGTGATCAATGTGTTTAATCTGCGTTTTTAGCGTGTTGTCCCCCTTAATGAGGATTAAGGGAGGTATTTATAACCTCGGGAAACGTGTCAATCTAGGTTTAGGTTAACCTTGGGCTGATTGGGCTTCCCTCGGAAGTTGGGCCTAGGTGACCGGTTATCCCATGTGTCATGGGAAGGACACGTGTCGTGTCGTAATTGGTCCATGGTGGACGGATCATTGCTTGACACGTGGCAGGCTCCTATTGGCCCATGTGACGGACACATGGCGGAACCTGATTGGTCCACTTGTCAGATGGTGATTGTTGGGGAAAAATCCCCTAATCATTTGCCCCTCACAGGTGGCACGTGACTGGTCACGTGTTACCTGTGACAGGTATCACCCTGTAACAGGCGACGGCCTGCTACAGGTGTCAGTCGGCGAGAGGCCGAGAGATTCTCCCGCCAAAATTTTGAATTCTGGAAGTGACCCTTCGCCTTCTCACTTCGCCTATATAAAGGAGTGTTGACTTCGGTCATTCACACTTGAATACTTTGTGAGAGAACATTCGGACCCCTGAACTTGCTCTGACATTTTGGACCCTTTCTGCCTACCGCCTGCTCTGACAAGCCGACTGCAAAGGATTTTCAGAACTTCATCAATCGTCACTCGTTCAGGTAACTGTCGGTTCTCTTACTCTTAATTTTCTCTATTCTTTTTTGAAATGGCACCACGGAAGCACACGACACGACCTAGGTTAGTGATCAGCCGGTCACCGGGGACGGCTGAATCTAGGACTAGGAGTGCCGCCTGCCCTTTTCTGGACCCATCTTTGCCCTTTATACAAAGTCCGACTGTATCTGTGTCTATGCAGAGCATGATGGCCATAACAAAAAAGACTGCCAGGATCTCAAATTCAGATGGCTCCTCCCACAGGGTGCCGATTAGCGAAACATCTGACCAGGCGCCAGATGTGGAAGTGAAACAAAGCGGCTTGAAAGCCGGCAGTTCCGAGGGAGGAGTCAAAGTCATCCCTTCCCATTTTACAGTTGACAATTCTACATTCTCTCCTGCTCCTTTTAAAGGAGAGGAGGCGGGCCCCTCCGGGAGAGGGGAGGAGTCGTCCTCTTCGGACTCGTCAAAGGACGATTCCGAGTCTAGCTCTTCTGGCCATGCTTTTCTGGACACAGAAGAGAAAAACAGTCGCCTGCAAGAGGCGAGGCTTTCTCACGCAGTTGAGAAGGGGGACGATTTGGCGGAGCCATCCGCCTCTCACCGAGAGCAAAATACCCCCTACTATTGCACAGTACCTCGGGGCCGGATCACAGCCATGCAAGAGAAAGTGGAGAGCTTTATCGCAAACCACACAATGGGCCCCGACTTTTTAGTGTTTGTGCCGGATCCAGAAGACACAGTCGTCTGGCCGGCTGGTACCAGTTATGATAGCGCCTGCTTTGGCTGCTACGAGGCGGCCATCAAGGCTGGGCTGCGCTTCCCACTACATCCGGCTGTTCAGCGGATCTTGGATGGGTATGAGTTGGGGTTATGGCAGTTAGCCCCGAACTCCTGGGTCAACGTACTCGGCTATGTGGCGGGTGCGAACTGCACGGGGTGGAGCCGAGCTTCGAGGCTTTCGCCCACATGAACTACCTCAGCCGGACCCCTAAGGCAGGCGGTACCGGCTGGTATCAATTGACGAGCCACAGGGGCTACCTCATGACGAGAGGTAAAGCAAACAAATGGAAGGACTGGCGGAGCACCTTCCTCATCATTGAGAGTTCAGACACAGAGCTGAACAAGCGCTTCAACAGGTGGAACAGGAATCCGCCCCTTCTTGCAGGCGGCCGTAGCATGCCGCCTGTTCCCCCCAAGGCTAAGAAAGAGATCCTAGATAAAGGACTCTTCAAAGTAGAGTCGAAGGTGAACTCTACTTCAGGGGTACGAGAGCAAGTACCCCTGCACTGCGTCCCGAGCTTCAAATGGCTCTACGACGAGTACTTTTTGGCCGCCTGTGGCCTCAGCAGTCGGTGCTCAAGAGGTAGTCGGCCTGTCGAATACTCTGCTGTTCCGTGCATTTCTTGTTATGACTTTTATTAACTTTGCTATTTGTTTTTGCAGCGGACGCCATGAGCAAAATTACCGCCTCCAAGACTGCGGCGGCCATGTTGCGGGCCTCCATCATGCAACAGTCTTCAACCGACTCCCCCAACAAGGGGGCACCCTTGGTGGGCTTCGAACCTTTCACCCTCTTTTTGGAGTTGTGTTTATGCATATACTGACTCTTTTTTCTTCTTTTTTAGACGGGCGCTCCAAGAGCTTCTTCTTCCCAACAGCCGGACCCCAAGGCCCGGAGGACGACTGTTGCGAGCTCTCCTGGTTCTGCCAGGAAACATGCGGCGGCTGAGAAACAGCCGGCCACTTCTTCTAAAACTCCAGCTGGGCCGCCTAGAAGTATGAAGTTGTCCTTGTAAATTTTAGACTTGCTCCCTTTTTTACTAGGTCTAATCCGTTTGTTTATGCTTGATGCAGCCGGCCCTCAGGAGCCTGACTTGGTCGAGGTGGCCAAGTCTATGATCAAGGCCGTTCCTCCGGCTGAAAGAGAGGCGGTCAGGGGTGTCGGCACCCTTGACCTAGACGGGATTGCAGGGGTCCTTGCTGAGGTATACTTAGCATATTTTTGAGTATTTGAATTCCAGGACGCCTGTTTTCTTTTTTGTTTGGAAACTGACGCCTGTTCCCCTTTTTACTTAGGCCCTGCTCCGAGTGAACGGCCTTCGCAAGCCGCTTGACCGGAAGAACAAAGAGGTAAAGGCTGCAAAAGCTATGGCCGCCTCTGACTGTGATAAGGCAATGTTTCAAATTGCCCAAAATGAAGTTCTGACCATTGATATTCTTTATTATCAGGCGCAGGCTACCGCCGCTATCCGGGCTCAGTTAGAGGCGGCCCAGAAGAGGAATAGCGAGCTGGAGGCGACCATCAACAGCCTCAAGGCCGAGCTGAGACCTCTTCGCCAAAAGATGTCCTCATACGAAACCTTGGAGAAATCCTTGGCGAGCGTAAAGGTACGCCTGGTGACCCAGGAGAAGAGTCTTACTCAGGAGCTCTCGGAAAAGGCCGAGCAAGAAAAGAAAGAGCTGGTCCGGGAGATGATGGAAGACTCTGCTCAAATCCAGCGCATGACTTGGGGCCGCCTCTTCCCCAATGCCGACTTTGCCTCATGGGAAAAAAACGTACCACCAGTGTTCTGATACATATAATCAAGAGATCCTGGCGGCTGCTGAGGAAGAGGCGTTGGAGGAAGCGTTGGAGGAGGAGCAGCCGGTAGTGGCGCTTGTGCCGCTTGGGGGTAATGCATCAAAGAAGGATGCAGCTGAAGCCGAGTCCAGCAAGAAGAGTGCTGACCAGGCGGCAGCTGCTAATATTGAAGACCTGCCCCCTTCTTAAGCTTTATGTCTTCTTTCCACGGCCTGCGTGCCGTTTGTTTGTATTTACCCGGCCAGGGGGCCGGGGCTCTGAATATTTTGCCGGTCTTTGATGACCGGCTTCTTTTTAATGAATTTTTTGTTTTGCTTCAAATTTGTTTAAGTATTGAATATTCTGATATCCAATTGTACACTATACCGACTGTTTTACATGGCCGATAGTTGCAGATAGGTACGGATAGTTAGTCACGCCGCCTATGCCCCTGGACGACTGGTTGTCTGTTTCCAGGCTAGACGATCAGTCGGCTATTTATCCAATTGGTATTCGAACCATTTTAAAGACTGGATCCCCTTTAGGCAGGCGGTTCCGTCATTTGTAAAATTAACCAAGTGGTTTGACCAAGTAAACATGGTTGTTACCTAGTCGCCAAGTAACTGAGAAGTAGAGGTATCAAGCGGTTGGTACCGGTTGTTCCCCTTCATTCGCCAATGTTTGTTGGCTTTTAACTCATAGGTTGTTAACCTAGCAGGAGTAGTGGTTGAGAGCCCCTGTTTGCTAAAAACAGGCGGACGACTCATACCTTTTAGGCTCCATACTAAGTTTGAGAGAGTGACTATGAGTTAACTTTGGTGTTACTCAGTCGCTGTCACTCCTGCTTGAGTAGTAAAGGTACCAGGCGGCGGAGGCCGGCTGATCCTTTTGATTCGCCAATGTTTGTTGGCTATTAACTCAAGAGGTACCCCCTGCATTTATCCCAAGTAATACAGGCGGTCATCTGACTCAGATGTCAACTGCTACCACTGGTTTGGTTAGTGATAGAGTTATCCTTGTCTCAAAAACGGCTACGTGGTTGTCCTCGGGGACAGTCGTATAGGTGCCGTGTAATTAGTTTATAGAGCAATGTTCCACCCTAAAGGGAGTTGCTCTCTGCGACGAATTTCATCCGGAGGGATGCCGCCGGACGCCTGCTATGATGCTGGGACAAGTCGTATTAGTTTTGAAGATTGGATCAGTTGGCTTGGCGCCTGGTCTGATCATTCGGCCTGTGGCCTTGGTTAGTTCTTGGTGAACGTAGGTGCTAAGTAAAAGGAGGGTAGCCGCCTGTTTAGGCACAGGGTCGGCCAGACCCTGATCATTTTTAGTCAAGTATAAGGGGGGTGGCTGTATGTTTGGAACCAGTCGGCCCTCTTCTATGGAGAGTAGCCGACTATATGTCCAGACAGCATGCCCCTATGGAGTAAAATATTCAATGGAGAGTGGCCGACTGTAAAGGTACAGGCGGCATGCCCCTCTGAAGATAGAGTAAAATACTCAATGGAGAGTAGCCGACTGTAAAGGTACAGGCGGCATGCCTCTCTAAAGATAGAGTAAAATACTCAATGGAGAGTAGCCGACTGTAAAGGTACAGACGACATGCCCCTCTGAAGATAGAGTAAAATACTCAATGGAGAGTAGCCGACTGTAAAGGTACAGACGGCATGCCCC